CTGAACCCAGCAGGTCAACGCTGGGGTGGCTGTGAGCATGCCACTGCACTCCAGTCCAGGCAACAGAGTGAGACTCCAACTCAAAAATATCAAAAATAAATAATTATCAGTTTTGTTAGATGTGTTAATGTATTAGGTGTGGTTATGTTTTTAAAAGTTCTTTAGAAACCGGGCTCAGTGGCTCAGCCTATAATCCCAGCATTTTGGGAGGCTGAGGCGAGTGGATTGCTTGATCCCGTGGGTTCAAGACCAACCTGGGCAACTTGACAAGACCTCATCTCTACAATAAATCAAAAAGAAGTCAGGAAGCCAGGCTCGGTGGCTCAGCCTGTAATCCTGCGCCTTTGGGAGGCTGAGGTGAGTGGATTGCCTGAGCCCGCGGGTTCGAGACCCGCCTGGGCAGCGAGTCCTCATCTCTACAATAAATCAAAAAATCAGCCGGGCGTGGTAGCGCGCGCCTGTAATTCTGGCTACTTGGAAGGCTGAGGCGGAAGGATCGCCAGAGCCCAGCAGGTCGAGGCTGCGGTGGCCGGGAGCGGCCACTGTCCTCCAGTCTGGGTGACAGAGTGAGACTCCAACTCAAAAAAAAAAAAAAAAAAGTCAGGCATGGTAATGTGGACCTGTAGTTCCAGCTATTTGGAAGGCTGAGGTGGAAGGATTCCCAGAAAACCCAGCAGGTCGACACTGTCATGGCCGTGAGTGTGCCACTGCACTCCAGCCTGGGTGACAGAGTGAGACTCCAACTCAAAAAATAAAAAAAGAAAAGTTCCTTAGAGATGTGTAATTAAGTAATTATGAATGAAATGATATCTGAGATTTGCTTTAAAATAATTTTTAAATAGGGAAGGATAGATGAAACAAGATTGGCAAAGTATTAATAATTATTAAAGCTGGATGAAGGATAGAGCTTCTGTACTACTCTTTCTGTTTGTATATGACTGAAATGTTCCACAAGGTAATATTAAAAATAATAATAATAAACTTTAGGAAAGAAGATAGAAAAAACAAAAAAGGCCAAGTCTAAGTCCTGGTTCAGCCACTCCTGAGCTAGTTTACCCTGGGCAAGCTATTTAACATTTATAAAATTGGGATGATTAAGGTACTAAGTATGAAGCACTTAACATGGAGTGGACTGCACAGTAAAGCTCAATAAATATTAGCTAATTTTGTTTTTGTTTTTGTTTTGGGGTTTTTTGTTTGTTTGTTTGTTTGTTTTTTGAGTTGGAGTCTCACTCCGTCGCCCAGACTGGAGTGCAGTGGCCGCTCCCGGCCACCTCAGCCTCGACCTGCTGGGCTCCGGCGATCCTTCCGCCTCAGCCTTCTGAGTAGCCGGAACTACAGGCACGCGCTAAGCTAATATTGTTATTATGAAAGAAAAAAATTAGGCCAGGCACAGTGGCTCATGCCTGGAGTCCCAGCACTTTGGGAGGCTGAGGTAAGAGGACTGCCTGTGCCTGCGGGACGAGACCAGCCTGTGCAAATTGGCAAGACCTCATCTCTACAATAAATCAAAAACAATTAGCCAGGCGTGGTGGCATGTGCCTGTAGTTCCAGCTACTTGGAAGGCTGAGGCGGAAGGATCACCTGAGCCCAGCAGGTTGAGGCTGCGCTGGCCATGAGTGTGCTACTGCACTCCAGCCTAGGTGACAGAGTGAGACTCCGACTCAAAAAAAAAAAAAAAAATTAAAAGAATGATGGATCATTTTTAAATACCTTTGTGTCAAAATATGAATCATTCATTACAATATTATTTGTGACTGAGAACATTGGAAACAGCATTTATTGGAAACTAATTAAATAAATTATGTACATCTTTGCAGTAGAGTTATCATGCATCTATGGATATAATCATGTTTCTAGATTGGTATCTATTACCTCTGTTATTAAGCATCATTTTAGAGAAAGCAATGCAAATAGACAAGAAATAATTTAGAGGAAAGAAAGAGGTAAAATTTACCTCTGTGGATCATACACTTACATACTAAAAAAAAAATCCAAGAGAATCAACTGAAAAACTTATAGGCAAAAACAGAATTCAAGACAAGTTAGCTGAATACAAAACTAATATAATAGAAATCACACTTTTCAAATATACAAATATATTCAATTAGAACATATATTGGAAAAGACCCCATTTTAATTTAGAAATAGTAATAATAAAAGGCAAACTTCCATAAAAATGCTTAGCAAAAAATGAGCAAGATCTATAAGGGCATGAAAGACCACTCAAAAAACATAAAAGATCTTCCATTCTTAGATAGGAAGACTCTGTAGTACAAAGAGGTCAGTTTTCCCTAAATCAGTATATAAACTTAATGTGATCCAAATAAAAATACCAGCAGGATTTTTAGTCATTTGACGACCTGATTCTAAAATCATATAGATAAAATCAAAGACCAAGAATATTTAGGAAAAATTCTGGACAAGGAAAGGAACGATGGGAGGACTGACACGACTAGATATTCAAACACATTATAAAGCTCCACTAATTAAATGCATGATATTGGCAAAGTATAGATATTGAAAATTGAGAAATAAACCCATATACATTTAGAATGAGAAATATGTATGAATATCCACATATTGACCCAAAAGAAAATACTAAAGGATGTTCTTTAGGCAGAAGGAAAAAATCCCAGATCAAAGTAACAGAACTCCGTGTAGACTTGCCTAGTGCGGAGTCAGACATCCCCCTAGCTTGTCTTCAGTCCTCTCACAGCTCAACAACATCTGCAGATTACTGAATGTGCAAGCTCTCCCATGCCCATGTGCTTGAATATGCTACTCGTTGACCGTAGAATGCTGTATCCTACCTTCCCTGACTGGCAAATTCACACTCAAGCTTCACAAAAGTTCCGAAGTCATTCTTCTGTGATGTGTTCTTCCTTTGAGAAGCAGGAGCGCACCTGCGGCACCTCCCCAACTTTGGCTTTTCTCCAGTCTCCTGTATCTCCATTTGTTCTTCATCTTCTTTGCTCTTTACACCGCCGCCAGAGGAATATTGCTAATATAGATCTGCTCATGTCTTTCTCCTTTTCAAAAATATTTGATGCCTCTAAATGCCAACGTGTCTATAAAATAAAGTATGAACTGCTTGGGACACAGTGGGCACCAAGGTCCTACAGGACTCACTTCCAACCCATTTTCTTACCTCAGCTCTACCTACCATGTATGCCTTTGCGCTCTACCCGTGAGCCACCCTGGCCGTCACTATTCACCCACACAGCTCTGTGCCTTGTTAACCCAGAACCTCCTCACCACTCTTCTCTGCCCACTAAGATCTTTCCAAGCACTGCTCTCGATAAAGCCTCTTCTAAAATCCTATTAAGGATTAATGAGCCAAGCGCAGTAGCTCACACCTGGAATCTCAGCACTTTGGGAGGTGGAGGCTTGAGATCAGCCTGGGCAACTTGGCGAGACCTCATCTCTACAACAAATCAAACAATTAGTCAGGCGTGGTGGCACATGCCTGTAGTTTCAGCTACTTGGAAGGCTGAGGCAAAAGGATCACCTGAACCCAGCAGGTCAAGGCTGCAGTGACTGTGAGCATGCCACTGCACTCCAGCCTAGGTGACTTACAAGCAATTTATCCCAGTTGGGATACTGTTCATTCCTTTGACCAATATTTATTTAGTGCTTACTCTGTACTAAGAATTGTATTAATAAGTTTATATATAGATAAAATTAAAGAGCAAGAATATTTAGGAAAAATTCAGGTAAAGGAATTTCCAACTCATTAATGGATTTATGTCTCATTCCTAAACTTGCATAATTAGTATTTATTTAATTACAGTTGGTATTACTGTTTATATCTGCCTCTTGAAGTCAGGGACATGCCTTACTAATTTTTTTCATCTTCCTACATTGTTTACCACACAATAAATACATAAATATAAATCATTTTTGCATAGGATGCAATAGAGCGCCTGACACATGGTACACATTCAATAAATGTGAACTCTTTCTATTGGTAATAACAGGTAGTTAATAAACATTTTGCAAAAAACAACAAAATAAATTGTGCTGATTTATTCCTAGCCAGATAAATTATTTTAGAATGAATATTGGTTGGAAACTATTAGCAAAGAATTTCAATTTCTTCTTTTGGTGACAGCGGAAGTTTAGGTTGCAGAGGAACTCAAATCACTCTATGAAAAAGATATGTATGTTTATTGCAGCAGTGTTCACAATAGCAAGAACATGGAACCAACCGTGTTGCCCGTCAAAAGAGGACTGGATTAAAAAAATGTGGTACATGTACACAATGGAATATTACACAGCCATAAAGAGGGACAAAATCATGAACTTCACAGCAACCTCGATGAACTTAGAGTCTATAATACTGTGATACTATAAGAAAAAGATTGGAGCATCTTTAAAATAAAAAAATTAAAAGTTTAGGCTGAACCGGACTCGGTGGCTCAGCCTGTAATCCCACGCTTTGGGAGGTTGAGGTGAGTGGATTGCCTGAGCCTGTGGGTTTGAGACCCACATGGGCAACTTGGCGAGACCTCATCTCTACAATAAATCAAAAATTAGCTGGGCACGGTAGCACGCGACTGTAGTTCCAGCTACTTGGAAGGCTGAGGCAGAAGGATCGCCGGAGCCCAGCAGGTCCCGGCCACTGAACTCCAGTCTGGGTGACAGAGTGAGACTCCAACTCAAAAAAAAAAAAAAAAAAAAGTTTAGGCTGTACAACCTCAGAAGGAATCTTAAAATATTTTTCAAGACCCAGGTTAACATGTCACTTAATCTGGTCCCCTACAGGCAGTAATTAAATATTGAGATCTCCTATGTCTGCTTAATCCCAGAAACTTAATACAGTTCTTAGTACAGAGTAAGCACTCAATAAATATTGGTTGAAGAAATGAACAAATACATAAACTGGGATGAATTGCTTGTGAGTCTCTCCAAGCAGGCTATAAGCACATCAGGTACAGAGAACATGTTTTATTCATCTTTCTGTTTCCAGCACCTAACACAGTATTCAACACAAAATAAATATGAACTGAATGCTATTTATTAAATTGTAGATAAGAGATAAATACTTTATTTCAAAAATGCAAAGAAGGGAAAAAGAAAACACATTTCTTATATCATGTAAACTTTTACCAAAGTTACCACTTATGGAGTGGAAAACATAGAAAGTTCTACCTTGAGGATGTAGAAGAAGGGAATTGGAAGCTGAGAAGTCAGGTCACCCTAGTCCTCTAGGGTAGTAAAAGCTAACAAGTCCCAACAAATGAGAATCTAACCTACGTGAAAATCTCTAGTCTCTACCTGCACAGCACCAGCCCAGGACAGCACAGTCATGGGCAGGCTGTGGTCACATCTCTTGGCCTAACAGTACACACCTGTCAGGGAAATTCCTGCTGTGGCCACAATGAAAAAGGCCTTGGGCGAGGAGGAGTGAAGTAGTAGGGATCACCTGAAGCACAAACAATTGGGGATACTGAACAATCTCAGTGTCATCACATCTGCTTCAAGAATGGTACACCAACTCCCTTCCAAAGCACATCATCGCACTGCACCATCATAGATGGAATGGAAGAGCAGGATGGGCGTGGCTGGCTGGAATCACATCTTGGGGAAGCTGGCCAGATTGGCAATGCCACAGGCGTTGTTCTTATTCCGAGCCATGAGGATATAGCCTTTGTTTCCCCAGTTTTCTCCCCAGCTGTAAGACCAATCAAGAAAAGTACTTAGTACCCTTGGCTTATTTACTCATTAATAAATTATTATTATTATGCATTGTTCTAGGTACTGATGGCATACAAAAATGAGTAAGACAGTTTTTATTTTTAAAGAGTTTAAAGTCAAGAGTGGAGAGGATAATAACATAGGTCTCAGAGACTGCTTCTGATCAACAGGATCAAAAAATGCTTGATGTCAGAGCTGGCATTAGGGCTGAGCCAAAAGACTGGGTAGAATTTTGACCTGTAAGAAGGGGATGCCAGTGGAGGGGTGTGAAATTAAGAGAGACAGGAACACTTGGGACCTGTGTAAGAGTCATATGGCTGAAAAATAGTATACCTGACAGAGTGTAATGGGAGATATGTCTGGAAAGGTAGACAGAGGTCAGGTTGAATTATCTACTGCAAGGCTAAAGAGTTTGACTTTTACTCTGTGACCCTTCATAGAGGAGGAGCCAGTGAAGTTTTCTGAGTGGGGGAGTGGTATCAGAGCTGTATGTGGGGAAGATTAATCTTTTTTTTAATTATAAAGATGTGGGGTACAATTCAGGGTTAGGTATACAAACGCTGATTATGCAGGTACCCTTGTTGATGAGATATGCCACTCCCTCCCCTAGCAGTTTCCCTCAACTGCCAGTCTCATCCCCCTCCCCTGACAGTTTCCCACTACTGCCACTCCCTTTCTTATAGTATTATAATTGTTCAAGGTCCGCTTATGAGTGAGAACATATGATACTCTGTTCTTGGTTTCTGTGATAGATCACTGAGTATGACCGACTCCAAATCCATCCAAGTTGCTGCAACATCCATATGTTTGTCTTTCTTTATGGCTGCATAATGTTCCATAAGATTAATATTGAAAATGTGAATCTAGTACATAAGAAAAGGCAAGAGTTGGTGATCTTGATTTGAGGGTAAACCCCATAGGAGAGAGGAATGGAACTATGAGAGTGGATGAGATCACTAAGGAAACGAGTGGAGAGACTAGAAGACAGGAGAGACAAAGAGAAAGAGGGGAGAGAAGAGAGAAGATAGGTCTGTATGTCTTCCTAACTTGTTTTCATGAGTTTTCTGTCCTCTTCTCCAACCAGCAACTTCTCCAATTATCCAATACATTTTACTTAAAGCCTAGACCCTCCCCCTGCCCTCCCCTTCTCTATGCCTCCAGTGTTTTGATCCTGCCTGGGTATGTCTTTTCTTCCTCCCAGCTCTCTTGGATGCTATCTCCACTCTTGGTTCCTGATCAAGAAAGGACAGGGCAAGTGCTTGGGGCTGAGAGTCAAGAAAGGGACGACACAGGAAAGAAGCTGCAGGAGACTCAGAAAGGCGCTCAGGTTCACTCTGCACTAGGACTGTGATACCAAAATTGCTTCAGGTTTGAAGCAACCCCCTAGCCTCACATTCCATCCTGCCAGCCTTCCAAGCAGCAGCCCTACTTGGTTACACCACTGCATTAATCTGTGAACTCCCCAGAGTCTAGGATTCCTGTTCTTTGGGGGGGGGGGGCGCTAAGGAGAGCAAATTTAATCAGTGTTGCCTCAAGATTTGTGGTGACCAAACAGGAAGGGAGTGTAATTCTCATACATGTGCCCCCAACAAAATCACAAGGGGCTAAAGAAAGATGGGAAGCAGAAGACCCTGGAGTTTTGTTTCCAATAACAGGAAAGAAAACACTAATTTTTGTTGTTTTTGTGCATACCTTATTTCTAAATATTGTTTCTCTTCACAGAGTTCACAATCTTTGGTGGTAAGTTTTGGGTTTTGTTTTTTTTTGTTTTTTTTGAGTCAAGGTCTCACTCTGTTGCTCAAGCTGGAGGGCAGTGGCACCCTCACAGCCACTGCAGCCTTAACCTGCTGGACTCAGGCAATCCATTCACTTCAGCCTTTCAAGTAGCTGGAACCATAGGCGGGTGCCACCACGCCTAGCTAATTTTTTTGACTTATTGTAGAGACGAGGTCTTGCCATGTTGCCCAGGCTGATCTCAAACCCGTGGGCTCAGGCAATTCTCTCATCTCAGCCTCCCAAAGTGCTGGGATTACAGGCATGAGCCACTGTGCCTGGCTTTTTGTTTTTGTTTGGTTTTGTTTTTTTGAGTCGGAGTCTCACTCTGTCGCCCAGGCTGGAGTGCAGTAGCACAATCATGGCTACTGTAGCCTTGACCTGCAGGGCTCAGGTGCTCCTTCTGCCTCAGCCTTCCAAGTACCTGGAACTCCAGGCGCACAACACCATGCCTGGCTAATTTTTTGATTTATTGTAGAGACGCGGTCAAACCAAATTGCCCGGGCTGGTCTTGAACCTCTGGGCTTAGACAATCCTCTCGCCTCACCCTCCCAAAGTGCTGAGATTACAGGCATGAACCACCACATCCTGCCTGGTAAGTTCTTATATATTATCCTAAGTGTACCCTGAAGGGCAAAAAACTACACAAGAGAATATTAAAACTTTCCATTATTTCCCTACTGCTTATATAAAGACTGATAATACAAACCTCCCTAAGAAACTAATCACATGAGAGACAGAAGAAAGTAAAATACACAGTAATTCCAAAGCTCCTGCTGGTTCTTGGTGCCACTTTATCTCATGGCTGGTGCGGTCTGTCTTCTTATCGGACTGTGAGATCACTAAAGGCAGACATCTGCTCATTTGCTTGTGTTTGGGACTCAGCACCTGACGCATGGAGCAGCTACCTCACACATACATGAAGTACTTGAGAATTAGTGTCTGGCGGTTAAATGTCAGACTCGGAATTAAGAGCCTGGGACTGGGAAGATAGAATGAGAAACCTGAGACAATTTTCTCATGATTTGGGAGAAAGAAGGAACCTGGGGGAGCTGGAGGTGAGGTTGAGAGTTATGAGGTGATTGAGGGACAAAAGTCGTGATCCCATTGTTACCTGTTTTTAATTATCCAGTGCTTCTTTCCCTTCTGGATTCCATATCCCACTGCCAAAACCGCATGGTTCAGATTATCACTATTGCAGCTTTCATCGTAGTACACACCTAGGAAACAAACTATCAAGGTGAGGCTCTCTGCAATCCCAGGGACACCCCATGGGGCCGCCTAGTCTAGGAGGCTCTGTAGAATTCCGTCCCCCTCAGGAGGGTTTACAACAGAGATGCTCTGTGCTGCAGCAGTGTTAGTTTCTCTCTGGCAGACTCAATCTGAATATGAAAACTTAAATACTAAAAATGCTCAGGATCCTTCCAGAAGCCACTTAGCCCATATCGTAAAAGATTATTAATAAGAGGAATAAAATTAATAATAAAAGGAATAAAAACTATTCCTAATCTATAGGAGTAGCTCCTTACCTCTGCTATAAAATTGGAAGGAGGTCAGACTTGCATCAATGGCCACAGAGATGGGCCCTACCCGGGCCACTGCCCTCTTCAGGGCTTTCTCGTTCCCCTCAGGGATCTCTCTGTACCCTCTGCATTTAGCTGCCTTGCCTGTTGGGTTGTACATACAACTTTCATCCTGCAAGAAACAAGGTTGTAATATGACTAGGACAAAGCAACAGGCAATGAGTTGGTAAGTGAGAAACTTAACCAGTGTTTTGAGTAATGTCAGTGAACTAACAGGGGCTATAACAGACTAGAGTCTCTAGAGAGGGTCTGTTCCTCCTCACTATTTGAGATAACTATAAAAAAGAATGGGAAGTGTGAACTCCTACCTTCTACCATAAATAAAAATCAACCACAGGTGGTTTAAAGACATAAATGTGGAGAAAAAACTATAAAATTTTAAAAGGAGACAATATTTTTATTATCTCAGGGTAGAGAAAGATTTCAAGGCTGGGCCCAGTGGCTCACGCCTATAATCCCAGCACTTTGGGAGGCCAAGGTGAGACGACTGAGCTCACAAGTTTGAGACCAGCCTGGGCAACTTGACAAGAGCTCATCTCTACAATCGATAAAAAAAAATTAGCCAGGCATGGTGGCACACACCTGTAGTTCCAGCTACTTGGAAGGCTGAAGCAGAAGGATCACCTGCGTCCAGCATGTTGCAGCTGTATTGGCCATGAGTGTGCTATTACACTCCAGCCTGAGTGACATAGTGAGACTCTATAACTCAAGAAAAAAAAAAGATTTCTGAATAAGATTTTTTTTTTCCTTTTTAAAAGCACAAATCACCTTCTGGCCATGTAGTATGTGCAAACCTCGGAGGACAGGAAGGCACCAGGTGCTGTATGGGTAAGAGACTGAGGCCAAGGCCACGGCCCAGCTAGAGGGAGGACCTGGGTGCTCTGCACCTGTATCAGGGGCGTTTGGTCTGAGCCCTTGTGCTCTCAACACAGACAGAATATAAAAGCACGTAACATAATACGAAAATAGATGACAGAACTTAGCAATTTAGCCTCTGACTTTCCAACGCTGCGTTTTGCAAGTTTAACTAGCAGTGTCTTTTTTGGAAAGCCACAACTATGGAATCTCAAGGCATCCCACGTAAAGGTGGTACATTCTTTTGTGACATTTTCCTGCAAACTTGCCCTTCAGAACCCTAAAACTGCATCTGTAAGATGCATTTATTACTACTATTTACTATTTATTATTACATTATTATTTGTGATTATTCATTTATTCATTTATTTATTATTACATCTATTTATTACTCAGGAGGCTGAGGCAGAATCTCTTGAGCCCAGGAGTTCATGGCTGTAGTGTGATATGACTGCACCTATGAATAGCCACTGTGCTTCAGCCTGGGCAACATAGTGAGATCCCAGCTATATAAAAAAAAAAAAAAGCCGGGTTCGATGGCTCAGCCTGTAATCCCGCGCCTTTGGGAGGCTGAGGTGAGTGGATTGCCTGAGCCCGCGGGTTCAAGACCCGCCTAGGCAGCAAGACCTCATCTCTACAATAAATCAAAAAATCAGCTGGGCGTGGTAGCGCACGCCTGTAATTCCAGCTACTCGGAAGGCTGAGGTGGAAGGAACATTGGAGCCCAGCAGGTCGAGGCTGCGGTGGCCAGGAGCGGCCACTGCACTCCAGTCTGGGTGACAGAATGAGACTCCAACTCAAAAAAAAACCCAAAACATTATTTAACATTATCTACATATTAACAAATTGGCAGCACTTGACATGATATTCTAAGATTACAGTGGTTTATTGCCTTAATAATTTCTCTGATCTCTTTGTGCTCTGTCATGTGATCCAAATCCCTGATGCTCCTTGGTGCCAAAAACCACACAGATCTACTAGTAAAACAGAATATCTTGGAAATGGACTCAGATGGATGTCATGTAATTAACTCCTTTAAAAAGTCTGCTGGGTGCAGTGTATCACACCTATAATCCCAGCACTTTGGGAGGTGGAGGCGAGAGGACTGCCTGAGCTCAGGGATTCAAAACCAGCCTGGACAACTTGGTGAGACCTTGTCTCTACAATAAATCAAAAAATTAGCTGGGTGTGGCTGCGTACACCTGTAGTTCCAGCTACTTGGAAAGTTGAAGCAGAAGGATTGCCTGAGCCTAGCAGGTCGAGGCAGCAGTGGCCATGAGCATGCTACTGCACTACAGCCTAGGCAACAGTGAGACTCCAACTCAAAAAAAAAAGTCAGAATAATTTGCATTAGGACTGGAATAAATTTACAGTACTGTCCCTTTATAACATTCTTATCTGGTTGCTGCCCTATCAGATCTCTTCTTTTTTAAATTTTATTTTTCCTTACCTCCCTCCATTCATGAATGAATAAAAACTCTTTACTATTGTATTTTTAAAAGCATAAGTTACAAAAAAACAAATTTACTATTTTTTTTTTTTTTTTTGAGTTGGAGTCTCACTCTGTCACCCAGACTGGAGTGCAATGGCCGCTCCCGGCCACCGCAGCCTCCACCTGCTGGACTCCGGCGATCCTTCCGCTTCAGCCTTCCAAGTAGCTGGAACTACAGGTGCGCGCTACCACGCCTGGCTAATTTTTGATTTGTTGTAGAGATGAGGTCTCGCCAAGTTGCCCAGGTGGGTCACAAACCCACGGGCTCAGGCAGTCCACACACATCGGCCTCCCAAAGTGCTGGGATTACAGGCTGAGCCACCGAGCCCGGCCCAAATTTACTATATTAAAATTAAGAACTTTTCTAGATTGAAAGACATCATAAAGAGAATGAAAAGAGAAACCTCAACTTACAAAATGCATAGTATTAGTTCTCAAATATCCTTTTAAAATTCCTAAACACCAGTAAGAGTAAAAACAACCCAATTAAAAACGGGCAAAAGATAATAACAGTCAATTCATTGAAGAAGACATGCAAATAGATAAACATACTGATAAAGATGTGAATCAGCCGGGCTCGGTGGCTCAGCCTGTAATCCCGCGCCTTGGGAGGCTGAGGTGAGCGGATGGCCTGAGCCCGTGGGTTCGAGACCCACCTGGGCAACTTGGTGAGTCCTCATCTCTACAATAAAAATCAACAAAATTAGCCGGGCGTGGTAGCGCGCGCCTGTAATTCCGGCTACTTGGAAGGCTTAGGCGGACCAATCGCCGGAGCCCAGCAGGTCGAGGCTGCGGTGGTCGGGAGCGGCCACTGCACTCCAGTCTGGGCGACAGAGTGAGACTCCAGCTCAAAAAAAAAAAAAAAAAGATGTGAATCAATGGGGTTTCTAATACACTGCAGTTGGGACTATGAATTTTTCCAAATACACTGGTAAACAATTTGACTTTATGTAGGGAAGTTGAAGATACATATACTCTAAGACCATTCTTTTCAAAGGCATTATATTCTACTAAGAAAGTCTTACACATGAGCATGGGAGGCATGCCTAGGAGTATTTGCATAAAATACATAAACCTGGCAGAAAAATCTTGTTGTTGCTACATACTAGTGGTGTGAATTTGAGTATGCCGTTTTATCTCCTTAAGTGTTCATCTCCTCACCTATGAAATGAAGATAAGTCCACCTTACAGGGCTGCTACAAAGATTAAGGGAGAAAATGCACTATATGCATGGTCTAGCACATAGTGGCCATCATTTTTATTCTCAAACTTGCTATTCCTGCTCCAAAGGCTTCTGTTGCAAAGGCCCCATTTTATATTACCTATCAGCCCCAGCCCCATGTATATAAAACCTGTTTTAGATAAGGTCTCCTTCCTGTTAATCAAGTATCATATAGGAGAAAGTGAGTTAATGCTTTATCTCTAAAATTACAATATGAAATGACTTTTTTTTCCTCTCACTTTATACATGTTAGCATATCAACTTACATAATTTGCTTAAATGTTTCCAAAACCCACTCTGAGAGCATACAAAATAAGGCCATATGATTTCTAAAAATTAGCTTGGTGGATCTGTGAGGTCATGGTGGGACTGGGGAGCTGAGGAGTGGGTGATGGAGATCTGCTCAGAGGTCTCTGGGGTAACCCATCCTCTTTCCTCTCTAGGGCAGAGCAATAAATATGAGCAATGGTAGTCTCGGCTCCTGCGTTCACTGAGATTGTGGGAATCTTCTTGGTCTTTTATGGGAAATTTTTCCATCAAGAAAGCAGGATAGGGTAACAGAAAGCAGGTGTTCTGGGGTTGTTTCCAGTACACAAGAGTATGCTGAGGAGAGAGGAGTTGACGGAGTTGTACAGCTGTGTGGAGCGACCTCACCTGTCCCACGTATGGGTAGGCATCTTCAGAGTCAATACCTCGATTTTTCTGCACATATTGGAAGGCATTGGTCATGTAGCCCCCTCCACAGCCATCATTCTCAGACACACAATCCACCAGGTTCTGGGGACTCAGATTTAAGAGTTTGCCAGTTTTCTTCTTGAGTTGGCCCTCCAGGGCACCCACAGAGCTAAAAGCCCAACAGGAACCACACTGACCCTGAGAGGCATACAGAAAAGTTATGCATCATTGCTGTTCACACTTTTTGTATCTTCTATCTGCCATGTGTCCTCTACATTTCATCAAAAATGCTGCCTTTGTTGTGAAGTTTTCCTTCCCCGCTTCATTTCACATGTGTTGCATTGGTCTATTGCTATTGATAACTGTTGCTTACTAGCATTTGTACCAGTAGCTGCAGGGAAGCAGAGCAGAGCAAAGCAATGGTTTGGAGGCAGTTCTTCTGGGTTCTAACCCTGGCTTTGCCACCCACTACTTACATGACCTTGGGTAAGTTACTAAACTTCTGTGCCTCAGTTTCCTTATCTGTAAAATGTAGATAATGGCCAGGCGTGGTGGCTCAAGCCTGTAATCCCAGCACTTTGGGAGGCCAAGGTGAGAGGATTGCCTGACCCCACAGGTTAGAGAACAGCCTGGGCAACTTGGTGAGACCTCATCTCTACAATACATCAAAAAATTAGCTAGTATGGTAGCGCGTGCCTGTAGTTTCAGCTACTTGGAAGGCTTAGGCGAAAGGATCACAGGAGCCCAACAGGTCAACGCTGGGGTGGCTGTTAGCATGCCACTGCATTCCAGCTTGGGCGACAGAGTGAGACTCCAACTAAAAAAAAAAAAAATCTAAATAATAATATACTTAATGGGATTGTTACAAAGATTGAAAGGTTTAACACACATAAAGAGCTAGAAGTTCCTAACACATAATAAAATCTCAAAAAGTGTTGGCTATTATTGAGGACATTTTAAGATTGAGGATTTCCTGAGTATACATAGGTTATGTCTTAGTCATCTTGAATCTGTAATGGCTGGCACTGTACTGGATAGGTTTTGGGGAGGAAACGTGTTTGTTGAATAAATGTCAAATCAGTTGTTCATCTTGCTGATACAATCCTGAGTTAAGATTGTGGGGAAAACTGGCATTCTCATGCTAGTGAGAATGTTAAGCTTGAAAAAACTCTTTTGGAAAGTATTCTCTGTGACCTAGCAATTCTAAAGTTATGACTCATTTTGCATAAATATTTGTACATTGCTCAAAAATATGCACGAGTGCTTACCACAATACATTTGAATAAAGAAAACCAGAAACAACCTAAATGTACAAAAACTGGTGAGTTAAATAACAGAATAAGCTCCATTTTTTTTTTTAGCATGGGAGGATGAAGATGTACCTTCATTCCTTGCCCCCTCTTGCTGGTACCCTGCTACCTTAAGAATAAAGAAGCAGAAAAAGGAATAGGTCATGGCCAGATGACATGCAAACCCAGAAGAAAGGAGAGTACCTGGTTTTTGACAGGAGTAACATATCCTTTCTTTCGATAGTCGATAGAGTCTGGGGCTCTACCTTCCCAGTCTGGGATATAGAGGGTGTCATTACTGTGGGAGTGAGAGGGGGATACTTTGAGTCCAGTCATCTTCTGAACCACCTCGTCACTGGTCTGAGACAAAGAAGAGGGAGGCCAGGCATCAGCAGAGAACAAAAGCAAATAGAGTAGGTGGTCCAGAAGCTGAGGCTCAACTCACCATGTCTCCCAAGTGGTTCATGGCCAGTTCATATGTATGGACACCAAGAGAGGCCTCAAGGTTATGGATGGAAATATACTTCAGGTTTTTTTCCCAAATTAAACGCCGAGAGATTTCATCCACCTAAACAGAGCACAGTCAGTACTTGTATAGACTTTGTGCAGTTACATATGTAGCACTGTGGAGGTTTTTAGGAGAAAAGGTGAAACTCACAATCATTTTTCAGTGTAGTTGGGGAACTAACCACAGGATTATTAAGAACATGCCAAGGCCAGGTGCAGTGGTTCACGCCTGTAATCCCAGCACTTTGGGAGGCAGAGGTGAGAGGATTGCGAGATTTCATCTCTACAATAAATTAAAAAATTACCTGGGTGTGGTGGCGCATGCCTATAGTTCCATCTATTTGGAAGGCTGAGGCAGAAGGATTGCCTGAGCCCAACAGGTTGGGGCTGAGGTGGCCATGAACACCTCATGCCACTGCACTCCAGCTGGGCAACAAAGATTCCGACTCAAAACAAAAACAGTAGGCCAGGCTTGGTGGCTCAGCCTATAATCCCAGCACTTTGGGAGGCCGAGGCGAGTGGATTGGCTGAGCCTGTGGGTTCGAGACCAGCCTGGGCAACTTGGCGAGACCTCGTCTCTACAATAAATAAAAAAATTAGCCAGGCGTGGTGGCACTCACCTGTACTTCCAACTTCTTGGAAGGCTGATGCAGAAGGATTGCCGGAGCCCAGCATATCAAAGCTGGGGTGGCCTCGAGTGTGCCACTGCACTCCAGCCTGGGTGACAGAGTGAGACTCCAACTCGAAAACGAACAAAAAACCCCACAAAAAGCAAAACAAAAAAATGCCAAAAGAAATATGTAAACAAATACAAATAATAGACTGCAAAACTGGAGAGATCTATAGAAAAATTGCTCATAGATTAATGGCATTATTCTGAGAAGCCTTCCCAAAAAAGAGATGTAAGTCAGTTATAAAGCAAAGGAGGGATACAACTTAGAGGGCAAGTTGAGGCCTAGGAATAATAAAGACGGTATGTTTGGGAACAGGGACAAGTTTGTTTGGAATAGTCTTTGGACTGAAGAAGGAAATTTGGAAGCTAGATCTGGAGGACTCAGGTCTTGGCCTTCTGCCACGCTCCCCCAGTTCCCAGGCACCTTGCTATTGTATTGCTTCATGTGGGTCTTCTTCCACAGCTCCCACTGGGTGTCCAGTATCTCCTCAGGGTACAGAGCAAAGCTCACCATGGGTATCAGCAGAATCTTGAGCGCCCACATCCTGGGGAAGGGTATAATTAGGGGAGGCTCTTCCACTGACAGAGGGCTCAGTGCCTGACTTGGGATGAGGAAAATAGCTGGAGCCATGTTCCTAGACAGGTAGCTCTTAACCTTTCAGTAGTCATAGACTCCCTTGAGAAACTAATAAAAGTATAGTTCCCCTCACCAGAAAAGTGCATGCACACACAATAATCCTAAGGGATTCATGATCTTGAAGTTTAGTACCCCTGGGACCCTGAGGCAGAGGAAAACTGTGCTCTAAGAGGAAGGTGGACAGAGAATGGAGGGTGATTTTCCTATGAACAAACAATCAGTGATAGTTAGGAGGAACCTGTGTTTGGATAGGGTGCTGGCCCATCTGGTTCCAAGCACATTGACCTAGGGAGCCAACACTTACACACACGTACTTGCACAGACAACCAGAAATGGGGTAGAAACTGGACAATCAGAATGGCTCAGGGCCCATCTCCTCTGGTGTCCCCAGGCTTGGCAATGGACACACTAAGAGCAAGTTGGGAGTGGGGTTGCAGAATACAAAAGAGATTTCTAGTTAAGTCTTGCTTACTAATCGTTTCTTCAAGGCATTCTTCTTTTCCTTGCCTATATTCTGGTACTTTCCCAGATCTTGTCGGAAAAGGACAAGAAAAAGTTTAGTTTTTCCTGTTTTCTAAGAGACATTTAATATCTCCTCACTCTTCTTATGCATTTTTTCCTTCTCTTTCTCCTCCCTCCTTATGCAGGAAACTTCCCTAATCCTAACCAGATGCTATGGGGTTTTTTTCCCAACAAAAAAACCTCTGTGGCTGCTGCACAAGACAAAAAGCCTCAGAAACAAGTCTTGTTAGAAGAATGTAAGACGGAAAAGCAAGGTTCTACAATTATTACAACTCATAGCTTTTCAGGAGTTTACTTTATCTTTGCTCATCTTTTGCATTGGCTTGCTTAATTTTAAGTTCACTACTTTAAGAGCAATTGCAGCCTATTTCAAGTCACGTAGCTTGCAGTTTCTGACGTTATAGTCCATTTCTCTGTAATATTTGCAAACTGGCAAAATGTCTAGTAGGGCATTTAAGGGCTGGAGTGTTAAGGGCTTTGAGATGTCTCAGAAAATAGGAAGCCCTGAGCTACCACCTCCCTGTACTGCTCCTCCTCTCACTAGTTAACTCTTTTGGTCCTTTTTGGCCAAAGCAGAAATCCCTCAGCAGCCACTCTTGGGGAATGGGTAAAGGTTCCCTATATACTTTGCTTTTACTAAGAACCTTGTATGTATATATACAAATCATGCAAGAAACCCAAAATATTTCCAGGAAAATCTTATTTGGCCAGGAAATGACCAGGCATCTATTTATCCCCAGAGCCTACAAAGTTTATTTTGATCCCCGAGTTATTATATCCCTAATACTCCTAAAATAGATCATCAAAAGGAACGAAAAGCTGAAAGACCTAGAAAGTTGAAAATGTTACCTGCTGGTGGAAATCTGTTGTCTGGCCTCGTTTCGGCAGGAAAGTGTGGGCGGACAACTAGGGGTGCTAGATTTATTCCATCAAGATTGCGGAAGTTGGCTCCAGTGGTCGACTGGAAAATTTGGATAAGAGGAGGCGGGGATAGAAATGCTGAGAGAAGGGGGGCTAGGAAGGAAGGGGGCTGTGGATTTGCACAGTGTTTCTGTTTTTGTGTGCAGCACATATGCCAGGGTGGAGAGTTGCTAGTTTAAATCTCACATGACTGTCGGTGGCAGACAAAAAAGACCTCAATATATACTCAAGTAGGGGTTTGCCTTCTCTTTTGGGAAGTAAAGCTCTGATCTCCCCCATCCTTCTTCAGTGTCCTTTATTGTAACATTGGGAGATGACATCTTTTCCTACCCTTTTCCTGTTATGACCTACCTCCTCCACACGGAAACTTATTTTCAAATCTGTGTCTGTCCCTCACCTCTGGGATGAATAAATACAAAAGACTAGAAAAGAGCAATGTAAGAAAGGCGTCGGGTCCAAAATTGCATTTTCTAAGTTTGTTGGCTGAAAGTTATCAATTAAGGCAGGAAAACTGCTTTCCCAGCCCAACGTGGTTTTGTTGAGGGAGGATATACCCATAAAATTCAGAAGAAATTGATTCTAAAAGTAATTCAAACCAGCAATCCTGGTTATCTTTGACAGCACTCGAATCAATGCCATATGTTCTGATGGACTCACATGTGACTCTGCTGCTAAAACTCTCAGATGATGGGATGCCTGATGAACATCTGTCTCAATTATTAAAATCCCCAATGTAGGTCATCACATGAGTGTCTCCAAATGTTTCCCTAACATCCAGGCATGTGATAGATCATAAGAGTCTAGCTCAGTCCTCAAACCACACCCCCCAAACTCCATTTTCTTCCATAAACAGATGTGGAGAAAGAGGAAAAGCAGTTCCTTGGAATAGAAAGGGTAATACATAGGATCTAAATTCAGTTTCTAGCTATACTCCACACATAAACCTTCAAGAACCTTATGCCTCTGGATTTTAAGATCTTGGAGGGAAACCGGGTCTAGTCCTGAACAGTTTAAATTTCCCCAGACCTAAGTATTTTTAATACAGAAGAGGATATACTGGGGGAAAGCATCCAGATGTGCCCTAGTGGTTTCAAGTTCAAACTCTTCCCCTTTCTCCCAAGGACCTGGGCAACCCCATCCCCCATCCCCCACCTTGTGGTCAGAATGTCTCTGCTTTTAATCAGAATGTGTCAGGATCAGGAGGGCAAGCAAGGCGGAAGGCTGCAGAGTGATCAGAGCCCTATGATTTCTGATTCCTAATTAAAGACTCATGTGCCTTATGTTTGTATGTTTGGAGCTCAAGCTATGGATTCCTCTAGTTTTGGGTGTTGTTTATAAGCTGAAAAGGGAATGATAAAGCCGCAATCAAGATCACACAACACAAGAAATTTTACAAAAGGAAAAAATATTTTGTTTTAAAATCTTTGCTACATGTCATCATTTTTGCCACTGTAAGGCTTAGCACAGATGCCAGCAATACAGAAATGGCCAAGAAGAAAACAAAACAATCAAAAATAAAACCCTGAAGGAAAAGCAGAAACAACCCCCCCCAGAGCATCTTCTCCCTATCCTCCCCTTTCCCAAAAGCCCTATAATAACTGTACAATATTATAATCCTGATCACATTTAAAAACAGTCGATTATTAAAAAACAAGAATTCCACTGGAAACTCAACTTTTTGGTTTCATAAATTGTGATATAAATATATATGTATATTTACTGTATGTGTGCACATAGAATAAAAAAATAAACTGTCTCCTTTTTCACTCCACTACCTGGTACCAGACTGGAGACAAGAGGGAGGGAAACCCAGTCACTGACATTCCTTCAGCCTCTCCAAGGCCATCTGCTCCTCAGTCCCCTATGACTACATTTACTATATCTTCTCATTAATTCAGTCTGGTGCTTAGTTACTGGCCAGAGTCAATTTTTTTAAAAAGCTGGTCAGGTGTGGGGGCTCACACCTATAATCCCAGCACTTTGGGAGGCCGAGGTGAGAGGACTGCCAGAGCCCACGGGTTCAAGACCAGCCTGGGCAACTTGGCGAAACCTCATCTCTTAAAAAAAAGTTGATACACGATTGTTACCTGAGGAAGGTTAAAAAGTGAGCATAGTAACCTGTATCCACATTTATATGGCTATAGCTGATTACCAAGTGACCCTGTTTGGGATGGGCGTCAGGGCCCACCTATCACATGGAGTTATTATACTTGTACTCTAAAGCAAAACCCAATCTCAAGATTGGAGAGGGAGCAAAGAGGAAAGAACTGCAGGCCCAGTAGAGACCCAAATCTCGGTTTCTTGCTAGATTGGATATTTTGAAGATGGGATGAAAGAGGCTACTTTGCAAGAAGGCTTTGTATTTGGTTTACACTCCAACAGTGAGAATTTTCACTGGGACTAATCCAAGAAGTTGAGTTTCCATGCAGAAATAACCTCTACAGAACACACATCATATGTGCTTCTGACAGAAAGATGCAGCATTATCCTTATGGCCAACTCTGGGGTTTCTGGAAGTGTTTATCTTGCCAGCCTGTTTCGGTAATGTTTGCAGATCTTCCAGGTAAGGTAAGAGCACCACAAGCAGGAGTAATCCAGCTTTATCACTGAACATGTTCGATGAGAGACCAACCACAGCAACAGAAGACTTTATATATTTGTTTTACAACTGTATACTGGCTGGGCATAGATGTAAGTGCAGCAAAGACATTTATTTAAATACTCTTTGGCTGCAATGCTAAGTGGAAAATACCTGGAAGGTTTAACTCCTTAGGACTCTTTGAAAAGCACACAGAAAGACAAAGATAAAATCTGGGACAAAGTTTGCATAACTCCCTAACAGGGAGAAAAAAAAGAAATACAGAAGCACGTGCACACACACGTGCCCAAGTACACACACACACACACACACACACACACACTCTCTCACACTCACTCACTCACTCACACTCTCTCACTTACTCATGTTTCTTTCCAGAGCAATTGCTCACAGGCAGCAGAAAGAGCCTATGCTCACTTCCTAAAGCCTCATATATACCTACCATGTTTCATGGTCCTCAAATATGAGGACGCTTCTCCTCTCCTCCACTCTACTCAGAACTTCTTTCCAAAAACAAGCCATAGTATCCAAAGCAAATAGTGGATGTCAGGTTCTTCTAACTTGCCTCTTGACCCTAACACAAATCACTGCTACACAACTTCTGGTCAGGAGACACAAGGAAATGCATTCTAACTTCACCCAGTTTCAAATTTTCAAAGTGTCCTTAAAAATCCTGGGAATTAATTCAATTTCTTCTACAAATGTCACCTTGGAAAGGCAGGAAAGCAGGGGAGAAGCCAGAAGGGAAAGGGGTACACGTGAGGGGTGAGGGAAGGGAAGGGAGAGGAACTTTTATTCTGTTTACAGAAAGATTTGCTTTTTAAAAACAAACAGTGATTTTTCTCCCCCACCCCTTATCCTCACCCCAATAGTTCTATTCTGAAAAAGAGGGAAACATAGTTAGATCAGGAAATTCTTCATTGTTGTAGCTGTTGTTCTGGTCTCCTAGCATGGACAGCATCTCCTAATAAGAGAAAAAGATTAAGTCCAGGTCACGTGCCTTGATCCCGTGCATTCCCCAAGTTCCCTCCCAGCATTCCCTGCGTGACCATCCTTGACCAAGAGCTCTGCTATGCTGGGCTCTCAAATGGCTTCCTTCCAGCAACTCTGACTCATTTAGACCCCAGTCATTTGTCCTACTCTCCTCTGTCCTCCTACAATTCTACCTTTTTCTCGTCCTCAATATTTTCAAAGAGGGAAAAATCAACATGCCACATTTCACATAACCCCATGTAGACACATATGGAGTCTTGTATCCTACTTGTTTTCCACCAAAACCTGTTTTGCTTTCTTTCGATCTTTGCTTTCAACTAGCTCTTCCTAGGGAGCCAGGCTAGCTCAGTCGGTAGAGCATGACCGTCTTAATCAACTAACTTCTCCTTTGTTCTACCTGAGAGTACTCCATTCACTCTTGCAGTCCACTTAGGAGTTGTATAAACAGAACTTTATAGCTATAACCAATATGTTCTATTTCATATTAATTGTCCTGGCTTCTTTTAATCCAAAGCTACTGTGAAGTGGGTATGTGAATCTCCTTAAATGAGCTAAACTAAATCTGACATCTTCCTATGGTGCTTCACATAATTAAACTTGTCTGTTCTGGTTAAAGTGTGTGCATCACATTAAGTTCACAAAAAAAAAAAAAAATTTTTTTTTTTAAGAGATGGGGTCACACTATGATGCTATGTTGCCCAGGCTGTCCTTGAACTCAAGTGATTCTCTGCCTCAGCCTCCCAAGTAGCTGAGACTACAAGCAAGCACCATCATGCCCAGTTTCTACAATCTTTTTTTTTTTTGAGTTGGAGTCTGAGTGCAATGGCCGCTACCGGCTACCGCAGCCTCGACCTGCTGGGCTCTGGCGATCCTTCCACCTCAGCCTTCCAAGTAGCTGGAACTACAGGCGCGCGCTACCACGCCCGGCTAACTTTTGATTTATTGTAGAGATGAGGTCTTGTCAAGTTGTCCAGGTGGGTCTCGAACCTGCAGGCTCAGGCAATCCACTCGCCTTGGCCTCCCAAAGTGCTGGGATTACAGACTGAGCCACCAAGCCTGGCACTTTTTTTTCTTTTTTTGAGACAGGGTTTCACTCTGTTGCCCAGGCTGGAGTGCAGTGGTGTGATCATGGCTCACCACAGCCTCATATTTCTGGGCTCAAGTGATCCTCCTGCCTCAGCCTCCTGAATAGCTAGGACTATAGGCATGTTCCACCATACCTGGCTAATTTTCTATTTTTTGTAGAGACAGGGTCTTGCTATGTTGCCCAGGCTGGTCTTGAACTCCTAGCCTCCAGGTATCCTCCCACCTGAGCCTCCCAAAGTGCTGAGATTTTACAGGCATGAGCCATCAGGCTGGTCACAATCTTTTCAATTACTGGCATTTATCCCTCTCTGTCTTCTCACACACCCCAACCAAATACCTCAATCCAGGCATGCTTCCTTCTCTGTCTCTCCTCATTGACCCTTTCTTTTCCAGTTTCTGATTTTCTTAAGTCTTTTCACTCTCTCACCTGGAAGACCTCAGGTTGGCCAGGTTGCTGTGCTGATGGCTGC